CCTCCTTCAGAGGTGAACCACTCACCCACGAAGATGTGAGTGCCATGCTGAGCGAGAGGGGAGACTTGCCCAGATCAGCGAGAGGGTGCAGAGGGGACAGGTCAGGGTCTGAGATAGGAGAGTCGCCTCTCCTACCATGCCCTGGCCCACGTAGTTGCCCAAGGTCCTAGGGGTATCATTGTACCGGTCACCGCTTTTGTAGCCTCCAAATACTAGACCCAGCTTGAGTCAGGGCCAGAGCGCAGGTTCTACCAAGTGGTCCGGAGCCATCTGGAGAAAGGGGCAGGTGAGGAACGGGATTCGCACTACTCTCAAAGCCCTTGGACTGGTTCCCAGCCATTGTCACCTGAAACAGTTGAGATGAGCACCTTTCCACATCCGCAGTGAGCCCCTCCAGTTGGTGTTGCCAGGCATAGGGCACGATCCCAGCAGGGGCAGGACCTGGTACTTGGACATGTAGTGACAGTGGATGACAGCTCAGGCATCAGGGTCAGACAGACCTGGGCTCAGCTTGACTTTGTTCCTTTAATAGCTCTGGAATGGCAGCAAGTCACCATGTTTACCTCACTGTACCTCAGTTTCCTCACCCATATCATGGGCGCAATGTGGAGTGACCCATGATGAAACCAGGGCAGGTGCCCTGCCTGTACTTGTAGTCTCTAGCACAGCGCCTGCCCATGGGGTCCTTCCTCAATGTTTGTAGAATCTGAGCCTCGTGGGGTGGCCGCCCCATCCTGTCACCTGCTGCTCCTGCTTCCGCTGGCGCCCCCCAGCTGTGGTGCCCGAGGAGATGCGAGGCATTTATGTTGGTGCTGGGAAGCCCAAGAGGCCTGCTCCTCTTCCTCCTTTGGAGGCTGGGGCATGAGTCTGCAGAATGAGGGTGCTCCTCTCGGGAGGAAGGGATCAAGCAGATGTGGTGGTGCAAAGGCTCTGGGCTGAGGCACTTGGTCCCCCCAAAACTCACTAAAGCTTGAATTGTGTCCCCCAAGTTTTATGTATTAGAAACTTGGCCCCCACTCTGACTGTTAAGAAGGTGGGAAATTCTATTATGGTAATTGAAAGATGGAGCCTTGAAGAGGTGATTGGATTGTAGGACCCTGCAGCAGTGAATGGATTTAAAAATGGTGATCAGGGGCGTGGTTCTGAGGGCTTTAAAAGAAGAGAGAAGTCTGTCTCTCTCTCTGCTCTCTCTGCTTCCATCTTCTTGCAATGTGAGACCCCTGGGTCACTGTCACCACCACCAGATGGACTTTGGACTTCCCAGCCTCAGAAACTGTAAGCAATAAGGGCCGGCCCGTGGCTCACTCGGGAGAGTGCGGTGCTGGTAACACCAAGCCCACGGGTTCGGATCCCATATAGGGATGGCCGGTTTGCTCACTGGCTGAGTGTGGTGCTGACAACACCAAGCCAAGGGTTAAGATCCCCTTACCGGTCATCTTTAAAACAAAAACAAAATAAACTGTAAGCAATAAATTTTGTTTTCTTTATAAACCACCCAGTTCCAGGTATTTTGTTATAAGCAACAGAAACGGACTAACACAGTGTCCCCTTCCCAAGGGACTCCAGTGGGGGAAGGACACACAGAGGCTGCCAGAGACCCTCTCCTATCCCAGCCCCTATCCTATCACACCTCAGGGGTGTGCAGGACTTTACAGTTTTTATAATCGGAGTCTCATTTGAGCCACACAGCAGCCCAGGTAGGGGTGTGTGTGTGTGTGTGTTTGTGTGTGCACGTGCGCCCAGGTAGGGGTGTGTGTGTGTGTGTTTGTGTGTGCACGTGCGCCCAGGTAGGGGTGTGTGTGTGTGTGTTTGTGTGTGCACGTGCGCCCAGGTAGGGGTGTGTGTGTGTGTGTGTGTGTGTGTGTACGTGTGTACGAAAGCTCAGACTGGAGGAACTGCAGAACCTGGACCTGACCACTTACACAAAGGGGCCCAGCCAGGATCCTCCCTTCCCAACCACACCCCTGCACACTATGGTTCCTCTTCAAGGAACTGTCTTGAACTGGCTCTTCCCACAGGAGAGAGCCGGTTACTGGTTCTGTGATAAAATAAATTTATATTTGGTCTTTGTGCTGGCTTCTGGCACAGAGGTCCTAAAACCCTTGAAATTTCCTGAGTGATGGGGTGAGGGGCATCTTTGGTTACTCACAATAAGTCCCTTTCAGCCTTACCCAAGTTTATGCTAATGAGCGACTCTTGGAGGATAGAGGCTGGGTGCCAGGACCAACTATGTGACTAGAGGGTTGTAACTTTCAGTCCCACTTCCAACCTCTAGGGAAGGGAGAGGAGCTGGTGATTGAGTTAATCACCAGTAGCCAATAATTTAATCAATCATGCCTAATGAAGCCTCCACAAAACCCCTAAACGACAGGGTTCAGAGAGCTCCCAGGTCAGTGAATGCATCCACATGCCAGGAGGGGAGCACACCCCAACTCCACCAGGGAAGAAGCGCCTGTGCTCAGGACCCTTCAGACCTCATCCTATGTACCTTGTTGTCTGGCTGGCCATCTATATCCTCTGTAACATCCTTTGTAATAAGCTAGTAAACATAAGTAAATGTTTTCCTGAGTTTTGTGAGCCATTACGAATTATGGAACCTGAGGGAGGGGCTTGTGGGAACCCCTAATTTTGGGCTGGTTGGTCAGAAGTACAGAGGACAACCTGAGACTTGCAACTGGCATCTGAACTAGGGGTAGTCTTGTGGGACTGAGCCCTTAACCTACGGAGTCTGCACTGACTCCAGGTAGTTAGTGTCAGAGCTGAATTGTAGGACAGCCAGTTGGTGTCTGCAGAGTTGGTGAACAGGTTGGTGTGGGACATTTGATGTCTGAAGTGTGAATATAGAAAAAGTTTTTCCTTTTTAGGTACCCAAAGATCTCCCCCACCTGGACCCATGAGGAAGGCAGTTGGGAGGGGCAGGAGGGGGCTGGCTTCAGAGAGCAGGTGTGCGGCTGAGGAGTCAGGGCAGCAGCACCCTCTGCACCCGCCCCTCCACCCAACACTGTGGTTGGGCCTCAGCACCACACTAGAGAGTTGCCTCCACCAGCCCTGGGGGACATTGATATTCGTGTGGGGAGTTTCCCAGGTGTCACAGGATGGCAGGGCTGGGGTGGGGGGACTCCCATGCAAGGTGGACAGCAGGAGAGTTGAAAGCAATCAGTCACCTATGTTGGCAACGTCCTTCCACACTGGGCGCTGGAGCATGCCGTCAGTCCCACCCTCTCCATCTCTCCCTGGAAGTCCAGAGGTACCCATGCAGCTCCTGGCCACACACACTCATATAGTCCCTAGGGTCCTGGCTGAAGCTGGGCAGACCCCTGCTGGCCTGGAAATGGGGCTGAAGTCACACAACCACAGCACTCGCAGTCACCATGGCAACCAACCTGTGCAGAGGACCCTATTCCAGCGACCAGCTTGTACTCGATAGGAATACACACCAAACAGGCATTTGACAAACATTTATTGAGCACCTATTATGTGCCAGGCCCTATGCAGGGTGTGTGGAAAACACAGTCAATGTAATGTGGTCCCTGCCCAGAAGGAGCTCACAGTCTAGGGGACCAAGCCATTAATCACACAATAACAGCGAAGACACATTTAGCTTCACAATTTTACAAGACTTTTACAGTATACTGTACGTTTTCTCAAGTGCGAACACCCAGAAACACAGCCATGTTTTTTAAAAGCACATCGGCATAAATGTAAACAGTCACAATTGAAAGGAAGGACAGAAATCATCTGCAGTAATACTTGTGCTTTCAGAGCTAGAGTTCCAGTATTATTTATTCCTTCCTATCAGGTAGGATACAAGTTTTGCCAATCCACAGAAATGTGGTCGAGACACAGGAGTTCCGTGGCTTGCCTGTCATCAGGAAGTGGTGGAGCCACCACAGACACAAAGTGTCTTGAATCCTTGGCCACCACCTTTTCTCCACCCACCTCCCATCTTTTAATCTCCCCTGGACAAGGACCCTGTAAATCCTTAGGCTCCTTCTCCTGAGCTTGTCAGATGGGGAGAAAGGACCATGTCCTAGGAGCCCACCAAGCTGTGTGACACCTGGTTTGGCGCATGGCTGGCCCATGGGTGACCATGCTCAGACCCTTCCTGGCTGAGATGAACCTTATCAGTCAGTCTCACAATCTGGCTGAGTGTCAGCGTTCTAGGAGACAACTTTCCTCCACGTCCCACCTCTGCTGCCCTTTCTCCCTAAGTACCTCACCTGTCAGGAGCAGCGAGGCAGCCAGGTGCAGAGGGTGCACGGTGTTGGTTGCTACACCTGCTGGGGAGTCCCAACAGGACAGCAGAGGTTGGGGGTGAGAGGGAGCTACCTGTGGCTCCATCTCACCAAAGGTGGGAAAAACCCCACAGAATTGGCCTGTGATGGTTTGGTTTAGGATAAGGAATTTGGGGAAGAGACCCGCAGGGGGCCACTTCATGGTCCAGGAAATGGGGAAACCAGGCCAGGGCTCGGGTTTAATGAAGCCCAAGAGAGGGTGGGATGAAGTTGTGTGGCCTAGGCAGACCTGGAAGGCTGGAGTGTAGGACCTGTGAGCCCACCTCCCCACCACAGGGTGAGGGAGGGGAGGAGTCTCTCCCCCCGCAGGCTGGCCATCACCATCTTACTTTAGAAAAGCCAGTGTAATTCTCAACTCCTTGGGTGTGAGTGTGCCTGGTTCCACACTGCCCCCCCTCACCCGTGGCCTCTCTTGGACAGGCCCACCAGACAAGTCACAAGATACAGTATGTTAAAGAACAGGTGTTTCTGACCCCATTTCCAGAGCAGGTGTAAAGGGAAGGGGCAAGGTTTCCCATGTGATTGCCACCACAAGTCAGCCCCAGTCTCCAGGCCCAACAAAGCCCTGCCCTGGTGCTATAACCCCTCTGGGTCAAGCAGCTTTCTGGCTCCAAGACTATCTTCAGCACTCCCGCCCCTCAAGGTTGCTCTAGGCCAGACGTCCTGCTAGTAAACCCCTTCCCCCAATGATGGCCCAGACGGAACTCTCTTAATAAAAAAAAATAATTTATTGTCAACAAAGGCGATATATACAACAGGAAAACAGGTGAGAAGAATGGGGGTGAAAGGAGCCCCGGGGGGCTGCTTCAGCCTCTGCAGGGATGGAGCGGGAAGAGGTAATGGAAGCCTCCTGGTTTAGGAGCCTGAACAAGTGGGGGAGGAGAGGTGTCCCCCGAGGTAGTGGGACTCAGTTCAAACCCCATTATGACCACCTCTGTGTAAGGCACTGTGCCGAGGGAGAATGGGGGCAGCTAGGAGAGGGTGGGGGAGGTTGCGGGGACAGAGAGGTGAGGGTCTGCAAAGGATTGGGGTAGGTGATCTCCACAGGCCCAATGCCCCACTGCACGACAGCCTCAGCCACCCACCTACCTCGGGGCCTGGCCAGGGACAGACATTTTCCAGTGCCCAAAAGTCAAAGCAGATGCTGCCACCCTCCATCCTGTCCTGGCACCTGGCTTACTCTCCCCATCAAGTGGCCAAGCCAGGCAGCTCTGAGTTATAGCCCAAGGGGGACCGCTGCCTCCTCCCTCCCTCCCTCCCCAGGAAAGCAAGAATCTACACCCCACTCCCTGCCTCTGGCTCCCCCGCAACAGAGGTGCTGGATTCCGACAGAACTGCAGGCCAATCTGGGGTGTCACCTGCTCCCACGCCCTTGGTGGCCTGGGGGTGCTTGGACCAGTCCTGTAGGAGGCTGACTGCTGGGGGTTCCTCCATTCGCACGCGGATAACCTGGAGATCCAGTGTCCCGCGAAGCCCCGGAGGGGGAGCTGGGCAGGGATGGGACAGAGAGCAGAGTCAGGGCCCTCCTGACACCCCACCACGAGGACGTGCCCTGAAAGCTCTGCTAACTGCACACCCCATTTCCAGTGCCTGGTTTGAGGGGAGGCCCAAGAGCAGGAGGCTCTACTCTTGGTTGATACAAGAACCGCTACCAACCAGAAACAAGGTTCACAGCTTCTCAGGCATGAGCCAGACAGCTGTGAAGCCTTATTCCCCACATTCCCCCCAACTTTACCTTCAGCTGATTCATTTTATCTAAAACTTACCAGGCATCCTAGCCTAATGGGTTCTGCCTGTGTGGGGCAGAGGTGATGGGGGTGGGGAACACACCACACCCTGCCCACCATGAAGCTCATGAAAGGATCTGCAGGGCAGAGAAAAGAGCACTGCATGGTCAGTCCTGGGTTAGCATCCTAGCTCACCTTGCAACTTTGACCAGGCTCTTTATCCCCTGCAAGTCAGCACCTACTTCACAATGATCAGATGTCCACCGCAGCAGTATGGAGCACCCATAATAGGCAAAATTGGGCCTCAGGATAGGGAAAAGTGGGCGGCCATGGCTACTACGCAGCCATAAAAATGTCCCCTGCCTCATGGGTGTGTGTGAAAGTCACATTACACAGAAAAGCAAAAACGGAAAATGGGTGACTGCAACTCTTGCACTTTTGTATTCAGGAGGATTTGCTTGTGGTTTTTTCCCTACCCTGTTTTTAGAGATACGGTCATTTAAAATGTGGCAGAAACACAGGTATAATTTTGCTGTACAGTTTGTTGGACTTTAAAATGACTTGACGGCTGCCACCGGGTTGTACGATTAGCAAATTGTTTTGTGTTCACATTTGCCTCCCTAATAAACTATAAGCACCCCGCAGTTAGACTGAATCCCACTCATCTGTAATTCAATGATAATTCACTGATCAACCATGAGGTGCCTGACGCTGTTCCAGTTGCTAGGGGTCCATACAGCGGTGAACAGGGCCAAGCAAGTTACTGTCCTGAAATTTACATTGCAGTGGTGAGAGTCAATAAACAGGACGAACAAATGAAAGATGCAGTGTGCTACCTCTGGACAGACATAAAGTCAAAAACTACACAGGGAAAGGGGGCAGGTCACAGGGAGGAGCTGACACGCAAGCAGGGATGTGGAGGCGAGGGGTCAGCTGTGTGGACTGCTAGGGAAGCAGCACTGCAGCTGCAGGAACACCAAAGCCAGTGCCTGTGTAGAGGGAGCGGGATGCGGTAGGACAGGTCAGGAGCCCGAGGGGAGGATCACTGGTCACCACAAGAGCTCGCTTTTATCTGGAGTGTGGCGGGAGTAGCACTGCAGGGTTCTGAGCAGAGGAATGACCGGATCTGACTTGTGTTTTCAGCAGGGACACTCCAGCTGCTGTAAGGCAGCAGTGCACAGCGGGAAAAGCTCTGAAGCCAGGAAACCAGTTAGGAGTTGTTACAGGAACCAGGTGAGAGGCGGCTCAGATTGGAACAGCAGTGGTGGAGGTGGTAACAGGAGGGTGACTCGGAACTTATTTTGGAGGATCTGCTGACAAACTGATGTGGGGTTGGAGACTGAACGGTTTAGCTGGAGCACACTGAAGGATGGGGTTGCCAGTCTACTGGGAAAGGCAAGAATGGGGAGAAGTAGAGAGGCCGGGGATAGGGTGTGGGGAGGAGACTGGGGGTTCAGTTTGGATACACCCAGTTAGAGATCTTTTAGACAACCAAGTAAAGATCTGTCACCTGGGCAACTGGGAAAGAGGCTGGAACCAAGGGGAGGGGGCCAGGTTGGAGGGGCACAGTGAAAGTTACAAGCACAGGGCCGGCCCGGTGGCGCACTGGATAGTGCGCTGCTTGGGAAGCGCGGCGGCGCTCCCGCCCGAGGGTTCGGATCCCACATACAGACTGGTTCCCGCTCACTGGCTGAGCGAGGCGCGGGGGCAACGCCGAGGGTTGCGATCCCGTTGCCGGTCCCCGGTCCGGTACGGGGGCAACACTGAGGGTTGCGATCCATTGCCGGACACGGAAAAAGACAAAAGAAAAAAAAAAAAAAAAGAAAGTTACAAGCACATAATAAATGGCACTGAAAGCTGTGAACCTGGATGAGATCTCCAGGGAGTGAGTACGGACCCCAACCAGACAGTAAGCAGCGCCTATTCTGTGCCAGGCACTGTTCTGGCCCCTGGGGATATCCCAGTGCATGAAACAAACATCCTGACCTGAAGGCGCTTACCTTCTAGAAAGGGGAAGACAGGCAAGAATATGATGTTTCCAACTCTAGGAGCTGAGAATGAACAAGCAAGAGAAACTGGAAGGAACGGTTATTGAGGAAGGAGGAAAACCAGGCAAGTAGCTGCCCGAAAAGCCAAGGGAATAAAGTTTTCTCCAGGAAGGAGTGAGCAGCGGGTCCATTGTTACTGCCAGATAGAGGAAGAGAAGGACCAAAAACTGACCACTGGGTTTAATTTCACGGAGGGTGACCCTGCCCAAAAGCCATTTTAATGTGGAGTGTTGAGAATGAAGGTTTGACTGAAATGAGTTCTAGAGAGAGATTGGAGGCAGTTAGTATGGAAATGCTTCCCAGCTCTGCTGAAAAGGTTTGGGGACAAATGGGACAGTGGGAAGAGGGAAGAAGGGAGAAATACCAGCTTTGTGTATGCTGATGGAGGAAGTCCAAAGAGGTGGTGTGACAGAGAGAGAGAAGTGACGGGGAGGGATGGACTCTTGTGATGGGGAGAGGGCTAGCCTTTGCTAGGAGCAGTTCCGTCACAGTAGCAGGCGGGCGGAGGCAGAGAGTATGGTCCAGATTCCAAAGGGAGGGAGACGGGGGTGGGAGCAGGGGGACACTGCCCGCAATCCAGGCGTCTGTGTGGATGCCGTGGAAATACAACGCGCTGACATTTACTAGGTGAGTGGCCTTGAATGAGCTACTTAACCTCTTCTGACTCAGTTTCATCTTTTGTCAAATAGAAATCTTAATATTTTACGTGGTGGTTATATGGATTTAATGAAATGACATATTAGAAGAGATCAGTACGGGCCGGCCCGGTGGCGCACTGGATAGTGCGCCGCTTGGGAAGCGCGGCGGCGCTCCCGTCCGAGGGTTCGGATCCCACGTACGGACCGGCTCCCGCTCACTGGCTGAGCGAGGCGCGGGAGCAACGCCGAGGCCTGAGGGTTGCGATCCGTTGCCGACACGGAAAAAAGACAAAAAAAAAAAAGAAAAAAAAAAAAAAGAGATCAGAACACAGGAACGGCTCCATAAGGGAGGGACTTCTCAAGCCCAGAGAATTAAATGCCACTTCTTTC